GCTCGTAAGGCAATCTGCTAATCATCTCAATCGGCTCCCCCTTACCAATATTTTGAAAGACTCGGTTATGTATTTTTTTTATTTTATAGGTGACTGGTCGAGATGCAGTGTCATTGTCATTGTACTGTATACAATAGCGCACTGCACTGTAATGCAATATACTTTAGAATCTTCTTTTTGTTACACCCGTAATGTTTTTACTGCGTAAAATAGTCAAACAACTCTTGTGTGGCTCTCCAAGTGCAAGAAGTATTTAATTGTACTGTTTGTAGTCCTCCAGTTTACCCGTGACTGCGCTTTGATTCTCATAGTTCCGCCAGCAAGCTTCAAGACTTCTCCCCGTCTCGGTCACACACTCAGCGCGAGGCGAATTACTTGGTTCAACAATTATAGGGACAATTGTTCTGTATATATGCAGGTACTTACAGACCTGTCTGCCCACACGGCTTAACCCCGTAGTTTTGTGCAGGGAAGTTGAGCTCTCAGGTCCGTTCTGCGTACACCAGTTTCAATATGGGCAAAAACATGTTTTGTCTATTTGTTTGTGGTTCTCCCTTGTCAAGAGTCTTTGTAGGGTGAACTTTGATATTTATAAGGGGCACGGGGTTCTCGATAAAGTCTGAATTGGTCTGTAATAAGGTGGGGCACTGATAAGGGTTTGGCAGGTAACTACTTAACGCGATTCTTAAAGTGATGTAGAAGTTTGGCCAAAAACCCTGATCTGTCAATGAAGCCAGGCTCAGATGTGAGATATTACATTTTCTGAATGTCCCAGTTACACACATTATAGAGCCGACGTATATACTTGTATCAAGTTTCAGCTCCCCAGCCCTTACAGACCATCAATAGAACTCGCATCACTTGGCCACTAACGAATATTAAGAAAGTGCATTAAATTAGAGGACGCAAAATATCACTGGCAATGAATGACCTTGACCCAAAGGGGCGAATCTCTGAGATAATTGTAACGAAATATACACGGTGAAGAACTTAACACAGACACGCTAATAACTGGCTTCAAAGTAATTATTAGTCGGCGGGCATAAACGTTACAGTACTCTAGACACATTCACACGCACTCGTTTGCTGATAAGTTGTAATAAAAGCCGCCTAAGGCCTACCGTTCACCTGAACAAAATTGTTGTTGTATTAACACACCAATGTTCTCACCCATTTCACCATCCCGCACTGACCGGCGTAGTGATGTATGGTCAAAACAAACCGACACGGTAGTCTGAGAATGAGTCCTTCATCCAGCAGTGGATCGGTAAAAGGGCCGTGCAATTCACTCACCGCACTCAACGCAGACGGAGCCGGCGGTGATGATGATGATGATTTTTACCAAAAACAATCCTCGCTGAATATTCATCTTCAAAGCCACACTCTCTGTCTTTGTTTGGAACGCTGGCCTGTTTCGTCTTTCCAACTTGTTGACAAGTTATAATATCCCAACAAGGCGGCGAACTGTCAACTACACGCACGCGGTTTTTTCTTCACAGGTGCACGAGCGAGCTTGCTCTGCGATTTGAAGCGACTAGCTTTTTTTTTACATTTTCTCTTTAAATAGGTCTTGGGACTTTCAGTTTCTAAAGGGGGAATTACCCCACTTCGACTTTTACACCTCTACGAAGCGGGGTGACGCTGTAATTCTGATAAATGCGACGTCATTGGCGTGTGTAAAATAAAAATGTGACAGTATTTTAGTGCACAATCTCAAGTGAAACACCTGACGGGTGCGCGATTAGGGGACCAGGTGCAGAAAGCCACAATCTCAAATGTGCCCAAAAACGAGGGTGTCTTAAGATCAGATGATATCTCGATGTTAAAAAGTTTCGGAAGTGCCGGTTGCACAACAGTTATTTCACCTCCTCGTGCACCAAATACACAAGCGTACATGCGCTTGCTATAGGGTTTCCATCGTTCAAGTACAAAACCACGGGACGTATCGCGGGAAGAGCAATTTCTCGCAATAGAGGAAGAGTGTGGAGTGTGAGCTAAGTGAAAAGGGCGTTGACTTGGGTTATGCATTATTACGCAGTTGACAGTAACCAGGACTTGTATTGCCCGGGATGGATTACATTTTTCCCGGGACAGCTTCCTCAAAGAGAGATGACGCTGCTGCTGGGAAAGCCAGGACACATGGAATTCCCATGCACAGCCCTTTTTTTTGTCAATCCACTACTGCAAGAGGGCCTTTCCAGGTCCGTATGGGTCGCCCGGGTTATTGGTCCATACTTCATCACGCTGGTCAGCGTGTGTTTTGTGAAGGTGGGGAGCATAGGCGTGGTAGCATAGCTGTACAGTCTAGCAATGTGAGAAATCGAATATTTGTTTTTAGACTGGAGGAATCCAATGAGCTCTGAAGCTGTTTCTCACAGATGTCCGGTATGGGTGGGGTCAACAAACTACAACGGCAAATAATATAAAAAACTAAAGGAGTGTAAGCAAGTCACTAATTATAATTAATAAATGTTTTTATAAGTCCGATTTATCAAGCTCGGGCAAGACAGCAAAAAAAACAACTACACCAAGAGAACACAGCCCCTAAATAAAATGGCACATTGAACTATCGATTTAAAGGTACGGATCAATAGATTCTTCTGCACTGCCAAGATCTGCCTAGCACGCCTGACGAGGGTTGTAATGGGGCGGTGTCCGGTGTGGTCACCCCGTCCATATGACAGGCTGCCCACGAGATTCTTTTTTTGCATTTCCCCCACTCGTATCTGACCTCGAGAAATCCCCGCAGACAACTGAAAATGTTTTTTTTTAAACGGAAGGAAACTTCAGCGGCCTGAGAAGCCCACACTGCATTTCATGGGAAGTACAACAAACCCACTGTCCGGCTGCGGATTATTCATCAATAATTATGATGTAAGAGCGCACAGTCATTTGTTAATGCGCACTACTGCATGGAGACCTCTTTCTCCTCCTAACCACGGGTTTGTCGCTTCACGGTGTTTGGGTTTGACCAGACCTCACCACGCCGGACCGAGGCTATTCTTGTCGCAGCTTCACGAATGTCCACTGCGTGGCTGGTTCGTCCCCGAAAACAAGTGTAGAGTAATAGCGCCGGCTGCTGTCCAGCAGCGGCAACTTCGGTGGACAGTTAGCGCACACGCCGTCGAACGGCGGAGGAACTAGGGCAAGGGTCACGGAAGACCTAATCGTGAAGCCCCTGGAACCCGCTAGTGGGTTCGAGAAGGGAGGCACGGCCAGGCCGCGCCGAGTAGAATAAAAGCAGCGGAGAGCGAGAGCTCCGGGCTGCCGGTTCTGGGAGTGGACTCGTCTCGTCATCGTCGTCGCCTTCGCCGCCTTCGTCACTGCCGCCTTCACGCTGTCTCGGTCGACGCCGTCGGTGCAACGCGGTTAGGGTTGTGTCTACGCTGGGCTGTGCGACATCGAGAAGGAACGAGCCTGTGAACCTGTTGAACCTAAAGAGTGTTAATAAAGAAGGTGCTTCCTGCAACTACCACGTCTCCAACTTGTGCTACATTACACATGTGCAATGACTCTCGGACGACACGAACTGTAGATTGTTTTCTTTATTTTGATGAGGGCGCTTCACGCAGATAACTTGGGCCAGGGATGACACGCAAGTAGCGATGACGCGAAGACAGCGATGGTGCGAAGACAGCGACGACCCCGATCCCATGGCAGCCCCGAACCTTGCTCCTCGCCTTCCTTTTATCCCCGGGGTGGCCCTAACTCTGCCCCCTGGCCACGCCCCCTTTCTCGAACTCTCTGTCCCGTTACTAACTTCCATGGCGATTCCCCCTTGTCACAACTTGCCCCCTATTATTTATCAACGTCTGTAATTTTCACTCGTGACCGCTAGTCCCCGGGATGTCTTCGCGCCCGCACTGTCTCCACCCACGCACTGTCTGTACACATGGAACATGGAGCCCCCTTCTGCACGTGACACCATTCCACGCATATGCAGCAGTGCCGGATTATCCTAGGAGCAAAAGTAGCATATACTACGGGCCCCGCACTTTAAAGGGCCCCGCGCTAAATGCTATCCAACTATCAATTCCGGTTCAGTGATTCTGCACTTGCTCTATTACTATAGCACTATACTGCCTTCAACTTTTACGAACTACTGGGTTTTGATTTAAAGCTTTCGTGACTGCAGTAATTCATATTCTTAGTTCTTTCGGTAAAGTCACGTTGAAGGGAAACAACAAAATAATAAAATATATATAAAAAACAATAAAAATTCTCACGACGTTTTGACCATAACACAAACGGTCGTCTTCAGGTGTGTCGGTTTGCATAATTTTTTTTATTTTTAAACGGTGTATTTATTTATTTATAAAAAAATCGTCTCCCCCCTCCTCTTTTCAGAACATAGATGGACTAGTCCGTCTAAATAAACTGCCAAATCGCTGCGCGTGGCGCTAACGGTTTTTTAAATAAATAAATACACCGTTTAAAAATAAATACATTTATGCAAACCGACACACCTGAAGACGACCGTTTGTGTTATGGTCGAAACGTCGTGAGAATCTTTATTGTTTTTATGTATATTTTATTATTTTGTTGTTTCCCTTCAACGTGACTTTACCGAAATAACTAAGAATATGAACTACTGGGTGTTTAAAGGTTAGCGATTTGTCGTATTATCTGGCTGTATAGCAAATGACCAAATACAATTACTTTACTATGCAAGTAAAAAATATGTGTTTTAATAATAATAATGTTTTTTTTCATATTTATGACCTCTTTATAACATATGCTACAGGCCCCGCACGAGCTTAATCCGGCACTGGAGATGAGAGCTAGAATGTGGACGTAAGCCAGCAGCGATGCACTGGAATGAGAGCGATGTAAGTTGCGACAGAGATGAGAGCTGCGATCTGAAATATTTCATTATTTTGTGCTCGCTTTAATTGCTCGTTGCGTTTATTAGGATTTGAATTTGAGCTTTCGCCTGTGGCTAGCGCCGCCACTGGGATAAAGAAGGATGTGTTGGTGATACAGACTGCTCCGTGCAGGGGTGGTGCGGTGGGAGGGAGGGTGGGAGGTCCGTGGTGGGCTTAGAGGCTGCGGTGATGCTCCGTGTTCGTGCGCTCTGATGAGCAACCAGAGGCCGAAGGAGATAGCTTGGACCCCCGGGTAAGGCTGCGATTCTCTCCCCCACCCCCCCATGCACATCTCAATCTAAATGTCCAGTTTACAGGAGATGCTGTGGCTCGCTATATCCATCGCTTGTGGAACGGATGAACAAAACAAAAATCAATACCCTCTGTGTTGGGTGCGTCAGAGCTGCGGTCGTGGTGTAACGGTGAGCGGAGCGGTGAGCGCGCAACGCTGCTAACCCGACTACCCGAGTTCGATTCCCCGCTCACGGCCAACACCGGTGACGATTATCTGAACCGGTCCTGGGCCTCCCCTAGGTCGACTCGGCCTCAAATGAGTACCTGGTGCGGTGTGTAAACATCGCCCCTGGGGGGAGACAAAGGCGGCCGGCCGTGGTGCTGGCCACCCACCCCATCGTGTGCCACAGTGCCCACCTTGATAGGTGCTCGCTAACAGCACTTGCTCCTCCAGTCTGTTAAGGCTACACGGGGATCTTTGTTTTTGGTGTTGCCGGTGGGCGTGTGGCGTCGTATGCGAGCCGCTGTGTGTGGAATGTCAGCGCAGTGCTGCGTGTGGGTGGCGTCATGGAATTGATGGCGTCTCTGAGCGCAAGCGTGGATGCGGGAGATACACCATGTGGATTGTCAAATCTCTCTGTGGCGGGCCTTTGAGTGCTTCTGTTATCCCTCGCAATGTGGCGTGAGATATTTGTTTTTCCCGTTTCGTTTCCTCTGGGTCCCACGGTTTCCTTCCACATACCAAAGATTATTGAACGGAATTGGCCAAACATACGCTATGCAAGAGCATCCTTAAAGGGGTCTTGAGCATCGGAGGTTTTTAATGACATACAGCATAATAAATACTGTGATGTCAGCCCTATACCACGTGGGGTCGTTTTCCCATTCTTCACCACGCTGAACGCTGTGGGTTTGTAAAGATGTGGGGGCCCAGCAAGGGGTTCAGATATCACTGGCCACTGATGCTGAACCATGGCCAGGAATAAAACTCAGTTGGCTGGGGTTGCAGCACAGGGCCATCTTTATGGATAGAGGCCATTATTCACGTAGAACGTTGGGTTTTTTTTTGCTTGTGCTTGGCATTCTCTTGTGTGTGGTTATTGTTGTGACTTAGGGACAAGTGCTGACTGGAATGAATGCCTTACGAGTGATGTTTTCGTGTATTATCCACTGCATAATTGGGTGGAATATTCCGTGATTCCCTTTGTAACGTGTTTTTGTTATTGTTGCTGATGTTTTGGTTTGCTCGTTTCATTGGTAATCGTATTTCTGCAATACACAGTACTGTACGGTGTAGTAGTAGTAGTGTGTATAATTAAGGCCCATAAAATCTAGGCCGAATTTCTCATGGAATATTTTCCCGGGAAATCGATGGAACCCTATTTTCCAGAGCTCAGCCTCGGACGACTCCGGCAGAAATTAACCCCGGATTGTATAATCGATGTCGCTGGTGGAACGCGAAGTAGATCGATCGATCGGTGGGTTCGAACACTGCGTTTTTAAAATGAATTTCATCAGTGTTTGCAGAATGTAGTGCTCTGATCAGTGACAATGAAGTGGTTGGCGTGGACTCTGGTGAAAATAATTTAAACGGGCCACCCCCGTCTCTTTTTCCCCGGTGCAGTTGCATCACCTACACACTCGATACTACGTCCCACTGCCTATTAATTAATTATACAGGGGGGAGTGTGATGGCCTGGGCTGTGATTGGGCGATCAAGAAGGGGGGGTGGGGTTATGGGTGGTTGGCGAGAGCGAGATTTTAAGGATGGCACGTGGAGCCCGTCCGTTACCATCACTGCTTGTGGTTGACAGACAGTCGTGGTTTGGTGCCGGCTTCGCTTGTGGCGATGAGTGGCAGTAAGTCGCTGATAATTTAAGAGGTGGTTGGGAGAGATGGCTGCAATAAAATAACCCTGAATGTGACCGATACCATCGCACTGTATCTGGGAAGCTAGGCAGAGCTGAACTTGCTTCGTGCTTGGATGTATGACTGCCTAGCATTACAAGGTGTTACAGGCTTGGGGGCCGTGAGGTGGCCTAGAGGTTGCATTACAGCGATGGTTTCTTGAAGTGAAGCTTTGAGTATTACCCCCTCGTTGTGAGGGCTTTCTTCGGGTACTTCCATTTCCTCCAAACCCACGAAGCCAAACATTTATAGAATTAGCCAAGAATCGAAATGCTGGACGGTCTTAAAAAAAAAGCACGAGACTCATCGATAAACCCACGTTTTAAGTTCAATGAAGAACATTGTTATTTATGGTGGTTTAGTCGGTTGCGTGGATTAGAGTTGTGCTTGAAATTCTGGAAGGGTGTGTGGGAGGTTGATATTGGTTCTTATAGGATGTGGTTAGTTCATATTTGAGTGGTGGTAGAGACACGGAGAGCTGGTGAGTGGTTGGATGGCACTAGGGTTGTGTTTGAGTGATGGGGCTGTGTGCATGTGTGTGGTTGGTCCAGATTCATGCTTGGCATGTGAGGGATGTGTGGAATGTCGCGGCATGGAGAGGAAACACTTGCCAGAAGACCAGGTGCAGAAAAAACAGCTTTGTAAATGTTTCTTCTGTGTGTGTTCACTAATAAAGGCATTGTTTACACATGACTGAGCCTCACATATTTTGTTGAGGACACAGGCCGGCGGTTGAATAGTATTGAATGGTATATCGTATACGACTCGTTAACCGCATGCTCTTAATTAATTGGGCAACATTTAGTATGCATGACAAAAACAAATCAAATTTATTTTATTTTATCCATAACCCCAATGGCCTTTCTGGGACCAATCTGTCCATGCAAACAATTGTTTTTAAAAGGAAAAAAAAAACTCTGGACTGGCTTTGACCTGGGTTTTTATCACCAACTTATTAAGGTGTTTTAAGTCAAATACTGTAATGTAATGAGGTTTTTTTTTTCTTGAAATTATTGATTCTGCGTAGTAGGGCTTTAGTTTGAGGGTGAATAAATTACAGGAAAAACAACTTAACAAGAAGTAATCATTGCATGAGCTTGTATGGGTTACATAACTGTGTTTTTCTGCAGAAGTCGGTGGGTAGCTTTCAGGGACAAGAAAAAAACACGTTTGCATATTTCCAAATACAAGTAGACTTTCTTTCCTCTGGGCAACCCTTTGATCAATTTAGCCAGTTTACCTAGCAGCGACACAACCCTAAAGCGCAGTTTGGTCCATGTTGGATCCTCCTCCCCCCCCCTCTCCATGACTCCCCACCGTTACAGAAAGACGAGTGGACAGAGCGAATGCGTATACATCTTCCGCATTGGTCAGCACGGTTGGCTATGCACGGTGCGAAAGATGTTCATCCATACATACAAAACAAACCTTCAGTGGCATTGAAACGCTGCGCTCACTGCGCATGGCAATTTTGGTTTTGCGCTCGGGTTGGGGATGTGGACCGGAACCCGGGCGATCAGCTGTGCTAGTGCATTGTTCTGACGCAATCCCTCTAAGAACCGAACGAGGAGGATTTCTCCCAAAAAGCTGTCTGTCGCCTGATGATGCGAGTTGTCCTACTTGAATTGTAACTGTTGTGGGTTTTTCTCCAACACACCGGTGTGCTGTACCAGTAACGAATTGGCATGTTTTGTTAACGTGAGAAACCTTACTAATTGGCTGCGTCGGGTGGAAGCGGGTTTGACAACACATTTATATCTACGCGATCGAACTCAAAATTCCTCTATTACGGACAACGTATGTATGTTGAGCTTCTTTCTCACCGTACGTAGCCAACCGTGCAAATCAGAGGCGCGGGACCTCATTGCACAAGTAGTAAGACACACGAACTGCATAAGGTCACTGTAAGCCAATCGGCCACCTTGGGAAGGCAGCTTCACCAACAACCCGGGCTGAGTCAAGCGTTCGCTTTTGAGAGGGCACGTCATTGCCAGTCACGCAGCGCGAGAGGTGGTGGTGGTTGGTGGTGGGGGAGAACAATCTTAGGTGACATCATGGGCCCGTTACTGTATATGGTGCCGCAATGCAACCCACAGAGATTACCAAAGCTCTGTTGTTTTAATGGGGGGGGGGGGGGCGGGTGGAACTCCACGCGTTCGTCAATAACGCCGCTTTAAAAGAATGCGCACAACACAGGCGACAGGCTTCGCGCAATGGTCCGTCCATTCGTTTGTGTTTGCGCTCTGGAGAAAGGCCAGAGCGTTTTGGATGGATGCGCGTGTCGAATTTGTCTTGCTGATTGTGTGTTGTGCACCATTGCCGATGCAGCAGCAGCAGCACCAAAATAACGTTTCAATGCAACGTCATTCCCAGAAACGGGGCTAGGAGGAGACTCCGAGGGCTGGACAGGGACACGGGGAACACACAATACACGTTCCAATAATGCACAAGGAGAATAGAGTTATGCACCCTTGATATGTGTACAGCCCTTTGTAAATCTGCTGCTGGATAAAGGCCTCGGAGTGGGTGGTGGGGGGGGAGTTGTTTAGCCATACTTCATTACGCCGGTCGGCGTGGGTTGGCGTAGCCAGGGATGAGACCGGGGGACAGTTCAGATATCACTCGTCGCCGACGTAAACCAGGGGACATCAAAATCCGGTCACAAGGATTATTGGACCGGGTGCCAACCCGTGCCACTGCCCCCCCCCGCCCGCCCCACCTCAACAACTCAGATGCGGTGTGTGAAATCCTCCAGTGGCAAATGAATTGGTATTGGTCTCAGGGATTGGCGCAGTTCAATGAAAGCTTGTACACGCCACCGGTTGTGATGGCATTGCGTGACGGCGTTTCAACATTGAAAAATAACTTCTCAGCTCAGCGGGGCCTTACCCAAAGTGAAGGGACTACCCTGGCAGGCGCTCTTTAATGTTGCATTGGCGTACAATTTATACACGCAGTGGCACGGCGGTCGGCACACAGTCATAACGACGATTTCACAAACTACGCTCTTTTCATGCGGCTTCCGGTCAGTACACAACAAATATCAGTGCACACTCATTGAAACGACACAGAATAACATTTATTCATGAATACCGCGCTGTAATTATTAATAACCTATTGTGACCAGCAATACATTTGTGATAATAGCAATGGTTTTTTCTCGAGTCATCCATTAAAGTTTAGTTTCATGCATCACGGTTTCTTTAAAACATGTACAGTGCGGCACATGTGCTGCGTTTACAACATTCGTATTATACGGCGACGTGAATTTTTTTTTTCCTGGCGTGGATTCGCGGCCTGCTTTATTTGCATCTCGTTTCGAAATTTTGACGAGCAAATTGTACGGTGGCACCTCCTTTTGTTCTCCAACGGTCAAATTAATGAACCCCGTTTACATTTTTTGGCCTTGCTGCGCTGGTCACCGATTGGAGGAATTAACGAGCTCGCCTTTGTCTCTCCGTGAGCTCATGCGACGCTTTCACGGCATCAATAATGCACGCCCTCTGGCAATGCACACACGCACAAGCTCTCGCTGCACTGCACATTTCTCCAGAGCCTGCTGGGTACTCGCGGCTACCCCCACTACCATCATCGCCGTCCCCATCATGAGAGGCACCCTTTGTTTTGTTGTTGTAAAGCACCGCCATCAACACACCAGGGATCTTGATGGCCAAACCTTAAGGTTGCTTCACATTGTCTCCGCTCCAGCAATACAGGACCTTCTACTGGAAGAAAAAAAAGCCTAAACTAATTTATGCTGAATGGGAGGGAGGTTTGATTCTTGTTATCTGCTGCTGCTGTTGCTGCTGCCCTAATGGTCTTGATCAGTATGTGGGCTCCAGCCATCCGTGCTGTTGATTCCCTGCCCCTGGTCAAGTCCGAGACTCAAAACCGTCCTCCTCTCAGCTGCCTCTGACTGTAACTGCCTGGCTGCCATCTATTATGTGATAAAATTACACCTTACTTACGCACATTAAAAATTAGAATATCTCGCTTGCGTCTCAGTTATACAGCATGCAGAGATGCGGTTGCAAATATGCCCTCAATAAACCCACGATGAATCACCGATCATAATTGCGGTGTGAAAATGAAAAGATAGGATGCGATTGATTTAATCTCGAGTCCGATCACTCTGTTTGCACAGTCACATAGTCACTTTAAGATGTTTTTCTTGTTCGTGTTTTTGTTTTTTTGTTTGCTGTGGTTGCACCCGATTCAAGAGCCGAATGGCTCACAGGGCTATACCAAAATAAACTGAACTGAACTGCGTTATTGTTGTTATTCTTGGTTTACCGAAAGAACCAAGAATATGAATCCCTGCAGTCACGAAAGCTTTAGATCAAAATTGTATTGTTGTTTACTTTTGATCACTGTCAACAAAAACAGATTGCATTTTGTACCTGGATTTAAATGCTCATATTGCTGACCCAATATACCGGCATTGCTTGATTACATCAGGGAAATCGGTGGAGGATGTATGGCACCATTTGGCTTTTTGGGTATGCAACCTAACCCAACAAGCAATTATCAATCAAAATAGATTTCATTGTATGCAGTGAAAAAAACCCATCCTAAAATTGTCCAAACGTACAGATTACATGCCTGTGCCAACGGTGTTTGTATTTGCCTCTGCGTAATGTGTGGGACAGTATTAGTAAACGGAGCGTATACTTTATTTGTGCTCTAAATGCACATTTTAAATACAATATTGCGTGTGAATAGTTGCGTATACTGCAGTGCTATTTTTATGCGAGGTTTTGCATTTAGATTTCATCACAAGTAGATGGCATTCCATGTATTGCATGACCAAACAATATATGCTGCATCCATTTGGCACTCATATTAAACATCATACATGCTGTGGTATTAAATACAACGATTGTCAGCAGTGGAAGGAATATTCCGTGAATACACTTAAAACAAATATTGTTGATGAAATGCCTTTTCATCTTCGTAATCAGCAGCACCATCAGCATCATCATCAGCAGCCATTGTTTATCGACTGCTGGATGAAGAGCTCCCTGCATATGCCATTTTCATTCGGTATTGTTAACATTTTTCTCACCGTACAGCATCAACACGGCAGCCATTTTACAAGCTATATTGGAATCACCCTGGTCGCCGCCCCTTTCAGCATCCTACCCCCTTCCCTCCCTGCCTGCCCCACTCACTACCATCCTCCTCTCCATCACTGCCTCCCTCCCTCACTCCCTGCCTGCCTGCCTGCCATATCCAGTGTGCGTGCAGCGCAGAGGGATCGGATCAGATGCTCCTCCGTCCCTCTGGAGGTGATGTCAGGCAAGGGCTGCAGGATGAATCACCGCTGAGGGAGCCAGCTGTGTGCGTGCGAAGGAGGAGCGAGCGAGCGAGCGGCCGAGCGGGGAGTGCGCGTCGCTCTCCGCAGTGTCCGTGAGCGGTGCGTCACCAAATCGAACGCCGACGGCGGCGGCGGCGGCGGTGGCCTGGGTTGTTCTAAAAAATGGGACGGTGCGGTGCGTGAACGACTGCTTGCGGTGTGAGCCTGCGCCGTGCGTCGCGAGCAAGATCTGGTGCCGGCACGGGGGGCGGGGGGGTCTGCTGCGAGGAGGAAAGGATGCCGCATCGTACAGTACAGTATTGCCCATCTCTCAATGTTTTGCTTTGTGGGTGTGCTTAGAAAAAAATAATGTATTCTCACAAAAGAGATGGGGGAAGAACGCTGCATAACTGAGCGAATTTCTGCGGCGGAATAAAGGGGCCGGGTGTGGGTGCGGCGAACATCGCTGTGCCACACGGACGCGGGCGCCGGTCGTTCCCTTTAAACCGCCGCTCCGAGATGGATGCGCGTCGGCAACGATTTTGCCGACACCCGTTCATCTGCGGGGAAGGAGCGAGATGCCGAGCGTGGCCGTGATGACGGTCTCCGATGTGACGCAGCTGCGCTCTGGGCTCGGGGTGAATGCCCGCTTGCGGAGAAACCGGCACGTAACGTTCTCATGCGTTTTTTTTTTTTGTTGCGCTGGAAGGTTGTGGTTAGAGTACGTTCGTACGGCCAGAATTTTGCAACGAATTTTCGTGTAATTTCCGATCCGGCACCCACCCAACGTTCAGGACCTACCATAAATAATAGCGGTCAGAGGCGGGAGGAAAGCGTAAGTAAAGGAAAGGGATGTACTTTACATTGTTACGTGTCTCCCTGATGCAGCGTAAAGAACACATCCCTTATGTAAGTGAGCCAAAAGCCTCCAGAGACAAGTCACTTTGACAAGGGAGACCTGGGTCATTTTCAGTAGAGTTGAGATATCGTGTTCAAAGCAAACATGATAAACCTACGTGTGGTACAGAAACACGTAAAATTATGTTTCAACTCGATCTTAAAGCTGCTCTGCTATACCAATCCGCCGTTTTGGAGTGTGCCGCACGGTTTTAATTGGGAAGGCAGGCGATGATCAGCGTTCGTGTCATCGTCTGTGGATCTGTTTGGACTTGCGCAACATTCGAGAAGCTGCGCTCTCTCATCGTCTTCGTCATGGTCATGTGGCTATTTAAAATTCACTGTTCACATATTCAAATTTTGCTCACGCAGCCTTGAAGGCAAGCGTGAACACTTTGTCTTACGCTGTCGGTCACGTGCGTTTGTTTTTGTGGCATTAATGCATTCTGTGACCTCACGGGAATGACGGTTTTGTCATCGCGAAAGCCAAGATTATTGGCGGGGAGCTTCGACAAATAAAACTCAGCGGCAGTTGGGAAATCTGCGAGCCAATGGTTCACGTTAAACATAACGCAGACTGCTGTGCACGTGTGGCTTTGTTGCCTGGCTCATGAATGCGATGCCCGCCAAAGCCAAAGACCGTGTCAAAAAAATGCGCATCCAGCGCACGTTACGATGGAAGTGTTCGCTTACGTCACGGTGTACGAGCGCTTCATAACGCTCGGAAGCACAGGCTGCCTCTGATGTCTCCGAGCGCATTCCATCGTGTCGTACGCTACTGTACTTCGCTTTGAGTGCGCGTGAGCAGTTTGGCCTTGACACTGAGAAAGAATTCCAAACAGCTCTCCTTGGCAGATTGAGTCCCGACCACCCCCCCCCCCCCCGCCCCATTGCAGAGAACATCCTAAAATGTCACGAACCATAGCTTATTTCTCTGGGGTTCACTTTATACTCGCAAACAAGTTTGTTGGAGTTGGCGACGATGCTCGTGAGTTTGTAACGGTAAGCCTGAGACTTGATCCTAAACTGCGGGTGTGACATCATTCGCGGCAAGGCTTTGTGCTCTGCCCGCACTAAAGCTCCTCGCCGGCGTTGTGCCCTGCGCTTTGTTGTGGGCTGTGGTTTCATAGGCCGCGTCATCACGGGACACGCTTCAGAAGAGTTGTCGCGCCTGTGCCTTTCGCACAAGCTTCGTTATCGCCCCTTGCGGTTGCGAGCTATGCGCGGGACAAAAATACACTGTCTCGCATCCCTCTTGATGCGTTGATGGACCGTGCTGCATGCTGTTTGGCATGATGTCCGACGTTTCGTCCCTTGTGCTTAGAGATTCTTCAGGAACTGAACAAGAGATAGCACAACTTGACAAGACATTGCAGAGGCGTACAGCGGAACTGCGAAAACCTACTGACAGCAACGATTGATTTTCAGTGATCGTGAATTGCATTGTTTTGATTTCTACGTGGTATTGTAGACTAATACAGGGCTACGTTGTCAGCGGAGGGCAGAGCAGCAAAATACATTGTTGAGCTGTACTACACTCAAGTGTGTATGCTTCCCACCTTCACTGAGCTCCATTGAGCAGCCTGGCGAAGTGCAACCTGCATGGCATGGGGAAGCACTCATCCAGCAGTGGATCGACAAAAGAGCTGCACGTGATTTGTATCAGCAGGGCTGATAAAAGTTGGCCTCCGTGGTTGTACGAAGAACACGTAGGAAATAACGTACAGGGGATAAATGTTTTGCCTTTATTGTTTCAGTCTTCCAATGTGAAAACACAGCGATTGCGTTGACAAAATCTGCAACTGCCATTGCTTTGTGTGAACGCATTTTAAAGCATTTTGCCAACTCGTGCTTGTTCCGCTCTCTCGTTCTAGGGCAAAATGTGAACGCCGCCATAAAGAGTCAGCAAACATGAGGCTCCCGTAGTCATGTCATCATAAGTCTGCGTAAAGGAATCCTCTTCCACCAAACAATGAGGGCCGATTCTCCTTGACCTGGCCTAAAACGACTCGGGAGCCGGGAGCCTCTCAAACGTAGAGGGCGAAGACCGAGAAAGTTGGTGCGGCCCACGCGGCGTGGAATGGCCAGCCCGCCGAAACTCACCGGAGAGACGCTGATCGTCCACCACATCCCGCTCGTTCACTGCCAGGTGCCAGCCGTCCGCGCGCAGGGCATCATGGGAAAGCGTGCCGCCCCCTTCAGCCTCACGTCAGACTTGGGCAGCCAGGGGTCCGTGTCTCTATCGGGCAGCAGAACCATCAACAGCAGCAGCAACAGCAGCAGCAACAACAGCAACAACAGCAATAGCAGCAGCAACAACAGCACGAACAACGGCGACGGCGGACACGTGCGGGGGCGGGAGAAGGCCGGGCTGTCCTCTCCGTGCTCTACTGCCGTCGCCTCGCTGCCCGACGGAACGGCCCAGGTCCAGGACTCGGACTCCCCGAGGCTCTCGGGACCCTGCGGCACCGTCGTCCAGAACGACCCTCGGCGCATGCAGCAGTCCTCCTTCCACCTCCACAACAACAAAAACCGGTGCATGACGCGGTGGAGGTCGCTGAGCTCGCAGCTCGAGGGAGGGTGCGGCGTGACGATCGCCGCCGACGGCCAGGTGACGAACACGAGCAGCAGGGCGAGGTCGCAGGTCACGGGCAATGGCCGGGCGGGAAATCGCTTCAACAGAGCCTCGTCGTGCCCAGACGGCCACAACGGCAACAACGTGAGGTTCAAGCGGCTGTCGCTGCAGTGCCAGGGGAAGGGCCTGTCCATCGTGAGAGACATCGACAACGCCGACGTGGGAGGCTACCGCAGCAGGAGCAGCTTGACCAACGAGTTGCTGAGGGAGGCGGAGGAGATGCTCGACAACTGTAACGAGAGCGGAGCGGAGGACAACGCGCCCGTCGAGGGCTTTGAGATCGGTGGTGGCGGCACGCACCGCGATCCGGCAGAGCGCGGCTCCCGATCGGCGCGCGCGCACGACAACGACGACGACGGGGGGTGCGACGGCGACTACGGTGGCGACGACGCGGATTGCGAGCGAAATGGCTACGCCAGCCTGGGCGACGCCAACTACGAGTACTGCGAGAACGACGGGCCGCACGGCGGGGGCTGCGGCGGCTGCGGCGAGTACGAGTGCAGCATGTGCAGCACGCGCATCAGCGACGGCAGCGCGCGCACCGAGCTGAGCGACTTCGGCGGGGACGCGCCGGGCGGCCGCCGCGACGTCGACAAGGGGAGCGACGGGGACGTGGGCCGGGCCCCCACGGGCTCCTCCTCCTCCATGCAGTGGAGCCCCCTGGAGAGCGAGTCCTTCTACCTGGACCTGCACAGCTCTCCCTGCGGCTCCCAGCGCACCGGCGGCGGCGGCGGCGGCAGCAGCAGCAGCAGCCCCTCGGAGCCGTTCACCGTGCGCGTCGACCGCGAGCTCCGCTCGGCGTCGGCGCTCGACTACGACGCGGACGCCGACGGCAACCTGTGCGGCACGGGCGACCGCGCCGCCGCCGCCGCGCCCGGTGGACTCGGCGCAGGCGGGGGGGGAGGCGCCGGGCGCGCCGTCGAGGAATCGGCCGCCGACGATGACGACGGCCTCGGCGTCGGCCGCGCGAGCGCAGCGGCCGGAGGGCGCGATTCGCCTCTGCCGGGGGCGAGCGGGTCGCGGGGAGAGGCGCGCCTGGTGCAGGCCATGCAGAACTACTACCGGCTGGTCACGGTGGACCTGTCCACGCAGTCGACGCCGTCGCACACGGCCGTGTGCTCGTCGGCCGAAAGCAGCGCCTCGTCCGAGGGGCCCGGCGGCGCCGCCTTCGGCCCGGCCGAAGCGTCCACGGAGTACTACTTGTTCGACAGGCCACGTGCCGGCGGAGAGGGGGCGACTCCCGTGGACGAGGCGGGCGGCCGCCGCTCCTGCACGTCGCCTGCCCTCGCGAGAGGACGATTCGGGGATGCCGAGAGAGATGGTGGCGAGAGCCAGGTGGCGACGCAGCAGCAGCGGCCTGAGGAGGAAGCGTCCGGCCAGCGAGTTGGCGTGGAGGCAAGCGGCAAAGTCGCGGAGCGCGAGGTGCCGGCGATCGATGAGAATTCGGTGTTGGATTCGATGGATTTTGCGAGCTGGGCCGAGAGGTTCAAGACGCACCCACATGAGAGGGACGACAGCCTGGGCGAAGGTTTGAGATGTCGGGAGTCTCCGAAAGATTCCTCCCTTAAGACGCCGACGAGGGACGATGAAAGTCAAATGTTAGAGTTGACCACCTGGTCTTTCCGAAGCAAGACCTCCATCGAGAGTAGGCAGGAGTCCCTGACCGACAGTCCGCAGTCTTCCAACGGTGCTTACAGAGAGGGCGAGAAGGACGAAGACATGCTGAGGGGTTTTGACATCCGGCCTTACAAACACGTCTGCGGGCTCAACACGTGCCACAGCTTCCCACGGCACATCACGCCCTCGCTGAGGCAGCGCTCAAAGAGCTACGACCAGAGCCTGGGCCGCAAGCCGCTGCAGGGCATCGTCTCCTTCAACCGCCTGCTCAGCTGCCCCAGCGAGCTGAGCCAGGGCCCCGCGTCGCAGCAAGCCACGCCGCAGAAGCGTGTCACCTCTTTCGCCAAGATCGCTCAGAGCCGCAAGAAGGGAGGCGGCCCGTCGCCGCCTCCGCCGCCGCCGCCACAGTGCCGGCACAGCGACCTGGCGTCGATGCAGATCACGCCGATCGACGAGCGCTCGAGCCTCGGGAACGGACCCTACGATTCGGCCGGAAGTGCATGCCGTGTCACCGACGAAGCGGCAGGCGGTGCCCTCGACGGCTCCCCCAGTGTCGGCCGATCCCTGTCCCGGAGGTCGAACCCCTTCCAGAGCGAGCCGAATCTCCCGCAGAGCAGCGGCGGCGGCAAAGTCCCCTCCTCCGCGAGCTTCACGCTGAACGGCAGAGCCGTCCCCGAGTACCTCCAGACGTGGAGCCCCTCGCCCCCCTACGCGTGTCCCGCGGACGACACGACGGGCAGCGGCGGCGAGGAGGACGGTAGCGGCGGCAACGGCGGCGGCGGCGCTCTGCCCAAGGGAAGGAGAGAGGAGGCGGCGCGGGCGGGCGCGAGCGCCGGCACGCGGGGAGAGGTGTGCGGCGAATGTGCCGACGGCCAGAGAAGAGACGCGGATGTGATGGGCGCTTCTGGCGGTGGGCGTTCGTGGGCATTACGGGAAGGTCACGCGACTGCAGGTGAGGTCGCGCCCTGAATCGCACAAAAAAACAGCAGCTTCAGGTGCATGCAACGTCGTCATGACGATGAATTTGGTTTGTATGTTAATGATTACACTTACGATGCTTACATGCAATTGAGAATGGGGTATTTTGAATTAATATGCGTTACATACAGTTGGTGTATGCAGCAGCTGCAGTGGCCAGAGACACATTCAATACAATGGTAAATAATCTATCGAATTGTGACCCTGAATCATGAAACTGGATATTGTCTGTATACAGCACACACAGGTTAGAGCCCATTTAGGCTCCAAATCTCTATGCAAGGGACATCTGGGAACAGCCGTAGATGAATCTAGACGGTGACAAATGCGCGACCATTATCTATTATCAGGTTCTATTCACTGCCACGAGTGGCCACCGTGAGTCTCCGAGAGTAGCAATGGCCACCCCCGAACAGCTGCCAAAATACACCCGCGTCTGAAGTGCTGTCCAGAGAAGAGTCCTGCTGTTCTCTGCCACTGCTACATAACCGGCGCTTGTTCTAGCTGTCCGTCACACGTCAACTATAATATTAGCAGTCATTAAATGCTGAAGTGTAATCATTTGGCCGCCTCGCGGTTCAATTGAACTCAGAATTTGGGGCGGCGATTCGAGAAGTAGTGCTATTGTCAACATTGTGGAGAATGTAGTGCTAGTGGCTGCAATGGGTCACACAAATGAGAGTAATTGCATGCAACGTACACGAATCGAAAATAAATCACGTTGTGCACAATTAAATGTCCACATTGTGAGCTTGAAAATAAGCTTCAATTGATGAATCGACGCATTATTACATGCCTATAAATACAACAACGTGGGAACGAAAATATATTTGTTGTTATCCTGTTTAACTCGGTAATTCTGCAATGAACGTACAGCTGTGTTCATTCAACAAATGCACACCAGTACGGTATTTCATTCCCCCAATAAATGTCATTAATGCGTGAACACACGTGAAACACATGGAGCGGCGTATGACCCGGCTACCTTGGCTGACAAGGTAACTGGCACTTAACGCAACTAATGGCCCTTCCGTTGGGGGCCACCCTCCGAATGCTAAATTGTGACTTCAATTACACCCACTGCCTCGCCACTCAGGAAAGCAACGGTTTTTGTGTGGGTCCCACTGGGCTCGCAGCGTTCTCCCTCGTGAGCGTTTACAAGCGCTAACACAAAAAAAACTGCGAACGCTAAAAATTATCTTCGCCTAACAGCATTTCCCCCCAGAATTCCTGGCACAGGGCGGATAAGAATCTGTAAGTGAAATAAACTAAATCCGCGTATTTGTGAATTGTACGGGCAGTGCGAGGTTCGGACATGTCTTTTCCACACGCACTGTGACATTCAAGGATGTGAGTTAGGCGTGTTAGAAAAGTACATTTTACATCCCGTGGGAATCTGGAAAGTCAGTTTGGTTGGGGGAAATGTGGCGGGCGTGATGGGAATGGTTTGTGGGCTGGACTGTCGCCAGCATCGTTCATCTCACACCAGAAGAAGAAGAAAGAAAACCTCTCTCTGAGATGCCAGTGACCGTGGTGGCAGCAGCGGTGTCTAAACAAAGGCAGGAAATACTTTACACCCTCCACATTAATGAACACTGCCCCTTGTGCGCTGCATTTATTTTTTATTTTGTCCCTTTTACAAAGATCTCCGTAAGCCTCAGCTGTCTCTTGTGTGCGGTAAAATAAATGTTTTGTGCCGACCGACTGCGTCCAGGCTGAAACTGTGCAATGTAAGGCAAATTAACAAAATCACGTGGAATGCGGCGGATCTGAGCAGCAGCAGATCTATGAAGCTAAGCAGGTTTGAGCCTGGGATAGTGCTTGCGTAGGCAACCACCGTGCCTAACAGATGTTGTAGACTGCGGGACTGTGTTGGGCGCAGCAGAGGGCAGTGCAGAAATATTCGTTGTTGTATTTGACTTCTACGCTTTCCACATACGTTCCCAGCCTCCACCAATGCACACTGACCGACTTCGGTGAAGTATGGTCAAGTAACTCCCACGCCCCGCATGGCTTGCAGAGGCCCTCATCCAGCAGTGGATTGACAGAGGGCAGCACTGTCCACATTGACCACTTTAAAGAACAGAGACAGCAGAAGGAAGTTCAGACGACTGGAACTCACGTTAGGAAATATAATTGTATAATTTATGCATTGCAAAGACACTTTACAATAATTATAAAAGATGAAAATGTGAGAATTTTATTATTTTATTTTTATTATTTTATTTCCATTCTACGTGACTTCACCGAAAGAACCAAGAAGATGAATTCCTGCAGTCACGAAAGCTTTATATCGAAATTTAACCACCTCTACGGGGAGGGATTCCACACAACCTTAAGATCCTTCAACAAACTCCGGGATAAGAAGGCTCAACTAATCGAGTCTCTCACCTTTCTGAAGAGATGCCGCGACTCTAAGCTTAAAAGACGTGGTCCTTGCTTGACAGCGTTCATTCAAGCTCTGTCTTCTGGACAGACCTGTTTCTTCACCTGAAGAAGGTCACTTGCGTTGTGGCCGAAACGTCGTGAGAATTTTATTATTTGATTTTTATTATTTTATTTCCATTCTACGTGACTTTACCGAAAGAACCAAGAAGATGAGAAATGTGTTTTTGTTTCGATGATAATAATACGTGTAACATGTGCGCATGGCAAACACCATCTGAGGATGAAACCCTGTGGGCAGCGCGGCATGGAGGTCATTCGGGTTCCAGTGGTGGCTGTACCCAGACCCTGGCACTCTTCGTCCTTTGCGTGTTTTTATTCTGCTCTGCCCTTGAGATTTGCGGTCTCCCGTCATCGCACGTACCACTGCTCCCAACCTCTCTCTCTCTCTCTCTGTCCAATAGCAGTGTTCCCAATGGAACAGACAAAACCTCTTTAATTCGATGAATACAGTCCTATTTACTCACAAACTCCATTTGCGGGTCTTAACAAATGAGATGCGTTTAGTCACTCGTTTGCATGCACTTGGACAGCCCTGTTGTGGTCCACCCACTGCTGGTTTTACTATAGTAATTGACCAAAAATATAATGTACATTTAGAATTTTGCATGTTTTTCTCTCTCCCCGTGGTCGCGTGGATTTTTTTTCCGGGTCCTCCGGTTTTTCCCTCCACGTTTAGGATCAACTTCATGCGTTTAGAGGAGTTGGCCGCTATGAATTTCCACGTGATAAGCCACATTGTTTAGCTATCGTTTGTGATTGCCAGGTCGCTTCTGAAAAATTGCTAAATAGCTCAGTGGGCCTTACCTGGTCAAATAAAAAAATAAACGGTTTAGTAGTTTTCGTAATTGCTGAACAATACTCAATGGAATAGAGTATACAGTACGGGAGCAACACACCGTCCCCTACTACTGCGAAAACTTGGCAGGACCCTCCTGAAAAGTAGTCTTGAGACTCTCTCAGGTATACAGGCACAACATATATCTATACATTGTAAGATCATCTTAAAAAAATTGCCTGAACACTCAGTGAGCCTTTCATGGATCAATAAAAGAATAATAATCTTAACAATTTACAACCATTTGTCAATCCACTTGGACAAGCGCCTACCCATGCCGCGTGGATATTGGGGATGGGGTTCTTTGACGAAACTTCACCACATTGGTCAGTGCGGGTTGGTGAAAGTGCGGAGCATAGATGTGGGATCGTAGAAGTACGGTACAATAAAGGATGTTTTTCTTCACTGCCCTTAACGTAGCCCAACAGACGATAACGATCTTGCAGTCCAGCAAGAGGGCTTCCGATAGGCGGTCCGTGCAAATGGGAGTTTTAGCATTTGCCTTATCGTTGTGGGATGATCTATATGCAATGCTGGATTGAAAGCCTCCCCAAAGCCGCCCACCAGAATCAGAAACTTTGTTTAGACCAGGAGGAATCCGATGAGCTATGAAGCTTTTTCCCCACCCCTCCGCTCGTGTAACGCGCCCTGCCCCTGTGGCCCCACATTCTCTCGTCAGTTCATAACGGTGTCATTCATCACTTGCGTGCATTCGCTCAGACTTCAGGAAAACGTGCATTCCGTAACTTTACACAAGGCGTTGGGCCAAGTTGGGCCTAATTGACCCCAACATGGTTGATCTTTAACGGAGGCACGCTTACGGGCAGACGCATCGAGGTTCAATTTAATAAAAAAAACTACAACTCAAAATTATGAAATCGAATCAAACTCTTCAATAGAAAACCTCTCGGATGCGGAGAGGTACATACATACACAGGGTGCTTCAAAAATGTTGTAATACTTATATGGGACTATTGTTTTTAATGGGGAAAGAACGGATAATACACTGTAACACGATAACAAAGGTGATGTTAATAGCTTTAAAAAGTCAAAGAGTCTTCCACGTGTTCGCCATCGTTGTCAACACGTGGCCTGGAATCATTCTCCACGTGTTCGCCATCGTTGTCAACACGTGGCCTGGAATCATTCTCCACGTGGTCTCCAAAGCCCGGAGGCAGCAGCACACCTCTCGTGCTATTGTCGCAAATTCTCCGAAGTGTTAACATTGCTTTGAAGCACCCCGTGCATGTGTTTGTGTATATATGAAGGAAATAAAACCTTCAATCTGGCAACATCGACTCAACGAGGATGTAGCCCGGGCCGTGCCGGATGTGTGGTGGGAAATGTTGGGGCTGTGGTCAAGTCGCCAGTGGCGTGCGCTGCCTGGAGAGGGGAAAACAGGGGCAGTGGAGCGGCCAGAGGTATCAACAGCACAATAGCTGCTGTGTGTGTGCGTGTGCGCATTGTTGTGCGCAGTGCGTGTGTGTGCCCGCGCAGTGCGTGTGTGTGTGTGCCCGCGCAGTGCGTGTGTGTGTGTGCCCGCGCAGTGCGTGTGTGTGTGTGCCCGCGCAGTGCGTGTGTGTGTGTGCCCGCGCAGTGCGTGTGTGTGTGTGCCCGCGCAGTGCGTGTGTGTGTGTGCCCGCGCAGTGCGTGTGTGTGTGTGCCCGCGCAGTGCGTGTGTGTGTGTGCCC